GGAGTCCATTTAAGCTCATGCCTACTGCTTCAGTGACTCCATCCAGCCACCTCATTCTCTGTCGTCCCCTTCTTCTTCTTTTTGTCCTCAATCGTTCCCAGCATTAGGCTCTTCTCCAGTGAGTCCTTCCTTCTCATTAGGTGGCCAAAGTATTTGAATTTCATCTTCAGGATCTGCCCTTCTAAAGAGCAGTCCAGGTTGATCTCCTCTAGGGCTGACCGGTTTGATCACCTTGAAGTCCAGGGGACTCGCAGGAGTCTTCTCCGGCACCATAGTTCAAAGGCCTCAATTCTTTGGCGCTCAGCCTTCCTTATAGTCCAACTTTCACAGCCATACATTGCAACTGGGAAAACCATAGCCTTGACTATACACACTTTTGTTGGAAGGGTGATGTCTCTGCTTTTTAGTATGCTATCTAGATTTGCCATAGGTTTCCTCCCCAGGAACAAGCGTCTTTTAATTTCTTGGCCGCAGTCCCCATCTGCAGTATGATCTTGGAGCCCAGGAAAATAAAATCTGTCACTACCTCCATTTCTTCCCCATCTATTTGCCAGGAATTGAGAGGGCCGGATGCCATGATGTTAGTTTTCTTAATGTTGAGTTTCAAGCCAACTTTTACACTGTCCTTCTTCACCCGCGTCAAGAGGCTCTTTAGTGCTTCTTCACTTTCTGCCATTAGAGTGGTATCATCTGCATATCTGAGGTTGTTGATATTTCTCCTGGCAATCTTAACTCCAACTTGTGATTCATCTAGCCCCTCCTTTCTCATGATGTGCTCTGCATATAAGTTAAATAGGCAGGGTGACAGTATACAGCCTTGCCGGACTCCTTTCTCAATTTCGAACCAATTAGTGGTTCCGTGTCCTGTTCTCACTGTTGCTTCTTGACCCGCATGTAGGTTTCTCAAGAGACAAATAAGATAGTCTGGTACTTCCATCTCTTTAAGAACTTGCCACAATTTGTTGTGATCCACACAATCAAAGGCTTTAGCACAGTCAATGAAGCAAAAGTAGATGTTTTTCTGGAACTCCCTAGCTTTCTCCATGATCCAGCGTATGTTGGCAATTTGACCTCTAGTTCCTCTGCCTCTTCAAAATCCTGCCTGTACTTCTGGTAGTTCTTGGTCCACATACTGCTGGAGCCTTGCTTGTTGGACAGTGATGTAGAACCTTTTTGTTCTGGTGTGCTGAAAGTGGGAGCACGTGCAATAGCGCGTGTGCGCCTGCCGGCACCCACAATGCAATGCACCCCTCCCCCTTACCTATACTGCACATATGCACTCCTTCCAGCTGGTTTTCGGCCTGTTTTCGCCCTTCCAGAGGCTTGAGGGAAGACTCTGGAGGCTGAAAATGGGCCCATTTCAGCACTTCCGGTATTTCCAGAAGGCCCAATTTTCGGCTTCCTGAGGCTGCAGAGGCTTCCCTCGAGCCTCTGGGAGAGTGAAAACAGCCTCAAATCGGCTGAAAATCAGTTGGGAGGCACGCACTTGTGCAGTGCAGTTAAGTTTGGCTGGGGCTTGTGTGCCCGCACAAATAGCTCTGCATGCCACCTGTGGCATGTGTGCCATAGGTTCGCCATCACAGTTGCAGGATTTTGAGCATATCTTTGCTAGCATGTGAAATGAGTGCAATGGTGCGCTAGTTTGAACATTCTTTGGCATTGCCCCTCTTTGGAATTGGAATGTAAACTGACCTTTTCCAATCCTGTGGCCACTGTTGAGTTTTCCAAATGTGCTGGCAAATTGAGTACAGAACTTTTACTGCATTGTCTTTTAAGATTTTGAATAGCTCAGCTGGAATACTGTCACTAACTTTGTTGTTGCTCAGACTTCCTAGGGCCCATTTGACTTCACATTCTAGGATGTCTGGCTTGAGGTCAGTGACTACCCCATCGTGGTTATCAGCAGTGGTGGGTTTCAAATTTTTTTTACTACTGGTTCGGTGTGAGCATGTGCTTTGCACACATGCAGTGTTTGTAACTCACCTTCTGATGCAAGCCCTGTGTATAAAACAGCTGACACTTGACAATTGGCTGTGCCACATAAAGCAGCTGGGATTGAAAAGCAGGAAATAAAGGTCAGTATAGAGCCGGGGCAGGTGGGAGGGCCCTGCAATTGATCGCGAATCAGTTCACTTACAGATGATCATCGGAATTACCGGTTTGGCCAAACCGGGCCAAACCGTAGAATACCACCACTGGTTATCAAGGACGTAAAGCTTGTTCTTGTATAGTTCTTCTGTGTAATTTTGCCACCTCTTCTTAATGTCTTCTGCCTCTGTTAGGTCCCTGCCATTTTGATAAAACTAAAATATACAGGGTGTATAGTCAGGATATGTATATAAAGTTCTACATATCCATTTCAACTATGCTATCATATTTTATTATAATAATCCACAATTAAGCTATACTGGTAAGTAATTCATTCAAAAGTTGCTAATAACCGAGGAAATCACTGAGTAAACCAAGGAAATCACTGAGTAGCTGTGCCCATATATTTATCTTTCCAATGGTGAAAAATAATTGATTTACTCAAAAGTGGAGCATGGAAATTACACTTTCTTTGTTCATATGTTAACATTCATGTGATAAAATGTTTTGGAAATATTAAATCCTGTCTCAAACTTAACACATTTAATACATTCTTCCACTAACGGGAAAATTATAGATGCTGTATAAACATAAGTTTAAATAAATAACTAATTTTATTAACCGTCCAATAATATGACAATTTATTCAAGCATTTTCTATATCAGTATCATCAAGTTCCATCAAAATATTTTTGTTGTTGAATAAGATGTAGTCTAAGTTCTAGTAACATTTTTGGCATTAATATTAATCCTTTCCACTGTCTGGATAAAATTAGAATTTGTAATTCTTTATTCCATTTAATATAGGCCATTTGTATATCAAATTGATTAATCCATAATAGAATTACCACCAAATACCTCAAATAGCAGCAAATAGCCCAAATGTGCAAGAATGAAGTCAGAAAAACTAAGAATGAACTAAGACTTGCAACAAATTCCTGTTGCTGAAGCAAAATTTCACAGACTGATCCAAACAAATAATCATGATCCACAACACCTGACATCACTATTATGGAAAAAAAAAAGCGGGGTGGGGGGTGGGGGGGAAACCTGGTTCATTGAATTGCAATAATACCAGGTGATGCATGAATTGAAGAGAAACAACTAGACAAAATAATGAAATATTGTGAACTGCAAATTGAAGTTGAGTGATTGTGGAGGAATAAATCAATGGTTGTATCAATTGTAATAGGAGCCCTTGGAGCAGTACCCAAAGGGTTGCCTAGATGCATGGAAATTTTGAACTTCTGAATATTCTGACTTTGCAAGAAACCACCTTACTCGGAACTGCCTATATACTCAAGATGTTACCTTAACAGTGCTTAGGTCCTTGGTTAGGACTTGAACTGTTAAGTTTTTACCAGTCTTAGACTGTGAATTGAATTGAAGATTAACAACAACAACAACAACAACAATAATAACCTGTGAAAAACAATAAAAAAAATCAAGGAAATGATTGGTTCACTAATGGGAAAACATGGTAGGGAGGTCACCAGCATCAGGGAGATGCTTAATATAATGCTTAATTCATTCTTTGCATCTGATTAGGGGATTGGAGGCTAAAACATACAACGAATGATTGCAGGAACTGGATATTCTATTCTAATGAAGAGAAGGATTAGGGGTGGCATGAAAGCAGTCTTCCAATATTTAAGGGGCTGTCACACAGAAGAGGGGCGGTCGACTTATTCTCTAAAGCATCTGAAAGCAGGACAAGAAGTAATGGGTGGAAGATTATTAAAGAGAGAGCCAACGTAGAACTGAGAAATTGCCTGACAGTGAGATCAATTAATTTGTCTAACGGCTTACCTCCAGAAGTTGTGAATCTTCCATCCCTCAAGGTTTTTGAAGAACAGATTGAACAACCATTTATCTATAGTGGTATAGGGTTTCCTGTTGGAGCAGAGAGTTGGATTAGAAAACCTCCAAGATACCTTCCAATGGTGTTATTTGGACAGTGTTTTCCCGAAAATAAGACATATCTTGAAAATAAGCCCTAGCTTGATTTTTACATATGTGCTCAATTATAAGCCCTACCCCCCAAAATAAGCCCTAGTTAAGACCCCGCCCACTCCGGGGTGCATGGGGTGGGGCAAGGCGTACAGGTAAAAATTAAGCTAGAGTGGGATTGAGGGGGTGGAGCTGCCCTACTTACCTTCGGACAGTTGCAGGCCAGCCTCAAACACCCCAATATCTGCCTCACCTTGCCGGCCCACTTCTTCTGCGGCCGCTTGCTTCCACTTGCACACGTCGCCCCTGGCCTGCATTTCGCTATCATAAACCTTCAGGAAAGGCCTCTGCAGCTGAGAAATGGGCTCCAGATTGACGCCTGTAGCACCCCCAGGCCTCATTTCGGAAACTGGCCAAAAGAAACAAGAGAAGTAATAGCAAAAATCCACTTCCAAAACAGTTTGATGGTCAAATTAAGTATAGAGGATTTTGGAAACTATTCATATTTGCTTTGTGTTCTGTTTCCAAGGAGGCATAACTTGACTTATGCCAACACAATGTAGTGTTATTCTGGGGATAATTCCAGAGATAAATACCAAAAGAGACATTACAAATTGGAAGTGGGAACCATAGTACCAATTTCACAATATTAAATAAACATTTTCAGATCACAAAATCAGTTCTTTATGTTGAAATATGAAAATGCTATGGAGACAATTTGGGTAAAAGGCATGGTAAATGGTTATAAACCTCAAGTGGGGAATTTTTTAGCAATTGGAAATGACAAAATATGATGCAGCTACTTGCCAATTAATGTCAAATTATTTACGGTAATTAATATATAGTAGGCTATACAATATGTACTCTGTATAAACATGGGTATTGTCTTGAAGATGTCTATATGTGGTATATCTTCAAAGTACAGAATACTATGAAATTAGGGTTCTGCTAAATAAATTCTATTGAAATGAATCTGACTCCAAGTCTTGTTTCTTGCTTAGAATCAGCATTCATAGGACAAAATAATCTGTCCAACACATGCAAATTTTGTAATGGCTAATCATTTGTTTGTGGTAGAAATGAAGATAATTTGCTTCCAATTATCCTGTAATCACCCAATCTCCCTCTCGGTGATGAGATTTAAACAGAATTTTAGGTGATTTTTTATTCCTAAATTATACATATGAATCACTAACTAGTACAATGTCTTCTGAGCAATTTCTTCTCACTTCATTTCATCCTTTGATTGTGCATGGGTCATTTAGGTTTGCATGACATACATAGATGACACAGTTTTATTAAAAATACTTACCAATTAAAAAGATACAAAATAATAATACATTGTTCAAATCAATAGGAGAGTGGTTCGGAGACCAGAGCACACTGAATTCAAAGGAAGATGAAAATATACACTTCAAAGAATGATAGAGAAATGAAAGTAATTTATATTAAGTCAATAGGAAAAGGCACAAAGAGAGACTTAGAAAGTCTTGATGTAATAAAGCCAGAATTATAAAGGTTTTCTGCCATAATGAAGATAAATAGACAGACAAACATATCCAAATAAATGATACATTCACATACACACATGCACTATGGAGAACATTTTTTTTGAGGCACTACTTTACTGCAACTGGAAAAATCATCATTTATCTGTACCCAATGCACAGAAAATAGGGGGATAGACCAAAAAGTCTAGTTTCCCATTGTTTGCCAAAGAAGTTTCAACAAAAACTCTGTTTTCCTTAATAATATATTGTATCCCAAACTATCTGATTGTTTATATCCGGGGGGGGGGAGGGATTCTACCTGGTCAGACCGGTTCTATAGAACCGGTTGTTACGATTCTGCGCAGTTCAGAGAACCGGCAAATCGTGCCACTTGCTGGCCCCTCCCCTCCCTGCCCACTCACTCTTTACCTGATATGCATGCCACCAAACTTGCCTGCTAAGTTGCTATTTTTCCTTCCCCCCCGGACCATCAGCTGTTCTGCTGTGCCGGGAGATTTAGGTTAACTAGAAAGCAGGAAATAGTTGGATTTCTTGCTTTCTAGCTAATCTAAAAGCGGAGCTGAACTTTCCTTAGGACCGAAGCTTCTATTTTTCTATTTTTCAGTGCAGACTCAGGTAGCAGATTGCAGAAAGGTAGATCTCTGAGTGAATCTGTGATTCTGTGAGCAATTCAATCTGCTTGCCTGCTTTGCCTGATTTTGGGTAAAAGTTGCTGTTTTTTTAATTAAAAAAAATCAATATTTACATAAATATTTACAATATTTATAAAAGGCACACCCGGCCAGTCACATGCCCACCAAGCCACGCCCAGCCAGCAAGCCATGCCCATCCAGGCACATGACCACCAAGCCACACCCACAGAACCGCTTATTAAGAAATTTGAATCCCACCCCTGTTTATATCCTCAAGAATCTAAGCTTTGCTGGCTGGGGAATTCTGGGAGTTGAAGTCCTCCAGGCTTAAAGTTGCTAAGGTTAGAGACTCCTGCCTCAGTTAAAAAAGCTTCCTCCATATGATACCTCTGTAGTTGCATTAAATTCACAAGTGGAATCTCTTGATCTTCATATCTGTTAAGCTTTTTTCTTCATCTGGATCATCAGTTAAGCCCTCAACTTTCTCTTCCCCTTTCTTCACATCCTATTTCTCTTTCTACTAGTTTTCATCTGAAGATGCACATGTTTTACCTTCCTATTTTTTTTTAACCAATATCTTTACCTTTACACCTTTTATCTTAGTAACAACCTTTTATTTTCTTCTTATAGCTTGTACAGTATTATACAGTATTACCATGTTGTTCTCATTCCTCCACTCTTTTAGCCATGGCATATAAATAAATGTTGCTTGCAGCCCATTCTTTACCTATCACAGCACAAAATTTCCATTGAGGACTTGGTCACAAAGGATATAGAGTACAAAAAATAATAACCTCCCTTCTGCTTTCTGCCACATGAACCCTATTTTTTTCCTAACAGTACTTCCACCTGCCAGCTGGACAGTCAGCTGACAGACTTGCTACTCAGCTTCAGGCAATTATATTCTGGATTCTGCTGCCTACCCAGAAAATATTGAGCTCCTCTCCCCACCCAGCATAAAAATACTATAGAAGGGAAGGGGAGGGAAGGGGAAGGGAGGCAAGAAAGAAACCCTCCAGGCAGCATAGTACTCAATGAGCAAAAAATATTATTTGCATAAAATCTCTCTTGCTTTCTGCTGCACACTTGAGGAAAAAAGCATAAAATGCTCTGTGTTGCACATAAAAATCTCCCCTCACCCTTCAAAAGATTCTAAGACTACAGTTGCACCATTATGATAGGAAAATGTTTAATTATCTATCAGTGCAGAGGAAGACCTGAACATATTATACTGTGTTGCATTACAAAAGTGAGTCTCAAATATTTTATTGATGATCAAGCAAAATATCTTGTGACCCCAAAAAGTACCTGACCCCAAATCATGTTTGTTGCTCAGAATCACTATTTACAGGAGATAATGACATGTCTAATACACGCAGAATCTGTGATAGCTAATTATTGTTTGTGCTCTAGATATAAATAGTTTTCAATTGTCCCAGAATCAGCCATTGCCCACTCTAAATGATAGGATTTAAATTGACTTTTAGGTGAACTTTCAAACCTAATTGATACATACATGATCACTAATTAATACAAGGTCTTCTGGACAATTCTCTCACACTAACATATAAGATAATTAAGTGAACTAGCAAATTTTTCAGGCTGGAAATTAGATGATTATGAGTTCTAGTCCTGCCTTACACATGAAAGCTGGCTGGATAACTCACTTTCTCTCAGCACATGACATCAGGCTCAGATGACAAGCTAGTTGGTCAAATCCTGGCACAACTAGTCGATCAACACTTGGCTGATTTGAAAAAAAACCACGAATGTTGCACCTGCAAGAAAAACATGATAGAAAAAAAGAGAACTAACACAATGCATCCATAAAGTTTCAGAATTGTTGAAATACATGATGGGCCTATCGATACTATAATTATATCAGGCGCAGCCAATGACTTTCCTTGGACACAAAGGTGTTAGGAAAAACATAACACAAAATAAAAAAAGAATAAAAGCCCCTCCCAACCAAACAAATTGATGCCAGAAACCCTGGAATTTGTAGTACTTTTTAATTTGCTGCAGGCTTTTATTGAAATTCAGAATATATCCTCACTCTAAAAAGGTTCTAAAGAGAAGAAAGTGAGCACCTGACTTCTGCCAACAAAGAGCTTATCTCCATCCATCCATCCATCATCTTAGTTCTGCATATGGAAGATGCTGCTTTTCATTGGGTTAAGATTGTAGTTCAGTTATGTGAATATTAATTTATTGCAAAGTGGCAGAGAAGACTGCAAAAAAAGATAGCCTTTACATATTCAATACAGAATAGTTTTCCTTTCCTTTTACCTATTTGGTTTGGATCTGTCCCTCCAATTGCATTAGGTGGTGGTAGTTTAATCTGCACAGGGCTCTAAAGAGGACCTGTTCAAGTTCACATAGGGGTTGTGTTATTTTAGGGAAATGAGTTCTTTGGGTTCAAAGTATCTGCCTCCATCAGGGGAATTCTCTTTTGTGAAGTTTTACAATATAGGACCAGAGGAATCTTTGCCCTGAGTTCTGTAGTTTCTAGTGTCTCTGCATCCTTGGGGTGAATAGCAACTGGGGACTGATTTACACCATATCCTCTACTGGACTCTGATGTTGACATAAGGGGAGGGTCAGGTTTTGTTTTCCTTTTTCCCCTTTCCCCCCTTATTTAAGTGTAGAAGACAATATACTGTATTGTATTCACACCGTTTCCTGCCTCTTTCCCTTTTGGGGCATGCCAATGGTTGTGGAACAGTCCAAATACAAAAGGTATGTTTTTAGAAAGACTAAACTGGCAATAATGGAAATACAATTAGATGGACTATAACAGGGCAGTGAAATAATATTGGGTTCCCATCCCCAATTTATTTTTGGGAAGAGGTTTGAGGTTTATTTTTGCATGTGTATGCTCTCGGTAAACTTATGTTTTTTTTAAAAAAAATGTGAAATGTTAGAGCAGGGGTCTCCAACCTTGGCAACTTTAAGACTTTGGACTTCAACTTCCAGAAGTCCACAAGGCAGAGGAACACGTATCCGGGAGTGTTGCGTCTATAGGAGCAACGATGCTATCTGCTGCACCCCGGAGTTATTTGCGATACAGGCATTTTATCGTTGTTCGTGGGAATGTTCCAAACGTCTGTGGTGTTGTGCGTATGTAGGCAATTTCCCCCACCTTTCTTTCCCGAAGCTTAAGGTTTGCAAACCCACAGGTACTTCTGGAAGCTTCTGGCAGCTTCTGGCAACGGAGGCAGGGAGGACCCTGGCATCGCGAAGCACGGCGGCAGAGCCGCTGTCCATTTCATGTCTGCCGGGCGGGGGGTGGCGGGAGGGAAATAGCTTGGAGACCTACAGATATGTGTGTGTGGGGGTCTGGGTTAGAAGGCGGCTTTTACTGGCAGGGGTCTCGCAGGGCAGGCGAGTTCCCATGGGCAGCTTCAAGGGGAAGAGAAGGGGGCGGGATTCAGTGGAAATTTCCACTCTCTGCAGTAGTATTTGCGGCCACGGATGAAAGAGGAGGGGTTAAAAAAAAAACACGGCAGAAAAGGCGGGACGGGCATTACTGTGGGGAAGGTGAGGCAGCGCCCGCAGGCCTCATTTCAAGCGCGGGGCCGCCTTTCCTATGAATTGGACGGGTTGGAAAGAAAGGGTCTCCCGGCGTAATTTGGGACAAGCCCACCTGAAAAAAATCCCTTTTTTTGCCCCCAGTTCTGGGAGGACAAGGAGAGGGGAGGGCGGGAGAGCAGCGCCGCCTGACGCGAGCAAAGGGGCGGGCCCGCCGGGTGCGCGCAGCAGCCGACCTCTTTTAAACACCCGGCCGCCTCCTGCTCGGTACAGCTGGAGACGCGTCCGATCCTTTCCTGCTCCGCGCTCCCCTTGGTCTGGTGGGGCTGAGCCGCTCCTCTCCCGCCAAAGATGCCCCGTTATGAGTTGGCTTTGATCCTGAAAGCCATGCAGAGGGTGAGTGGGTGTGGACGTTGTGCGATTGTGTGTAGAACCAGCCCCTGCCCTTTTCGGTGCCCTTGCCCTCTTTTTCTCCGCCCGGAGGTATCCCTCTTCCCTTCCCCCTTTTCAGACGCTGTGGTTCCGCGGGCCGCCCAGCTTCCAAAACCCCGGTGAGGCTCCTGCGCGCCCAGGGTTTCTTCCCGGCAGCCTTGCACGTCCGACCGTGTGTCATCCTTCCTCTCCGCCGCAACGTGCGGCTGCGGAAAGGACGGGCCTTTTTCTCCCGCCATTGCTGGCTTTTCTTTCGTTATCGTTCGGCGAATCACTTCGGGAGAGTTCGAGGGCGCTTTCGCAATCCAAACAATTGAAACTCTTCTTCTGCTTCTTAAGCGGCTTCTCCCTTCCCTGAAAGCGCACGTGTAATCTCGTTGCCTTTTTTTCTTTTTTTTTAAACACAACGCGATTAAAGGAGGCGCTCTTAGCCGTTTAGGAAAAGGTGCCCTGTTTAAACCACAGTCTATTTTCCCCCTTCCCTGAGCGCTTGGGTTTTTCCACGGGCCGCGCGCCCTTCAAACGCAAGAAATCATCGCCCCGCTGCCCTTGTTAAGTCGTGGCGGTGTTTTATTGAGCCTGATCGCAGCTTTTTTTTTTTTTAAGGACTGTTTCATTTTGGCACTTCTGGAAAGCTGCATGCTTGGTAATTGCTCTCCTGATAGTTGTTAGTCGATCATCTTTTAAATGCTTCTCCCATTGGAAGCTTTTGATTGCCAAGCTATACATAAATATTAATTTTATACATATAAATAGAACATAAATTGCTGGGATAGATTTTTTTTTTTTAAAGATGACCCTAGGACGTTTGAAACCAGCTGGGGTTTTCTAGAGCCCTTGAAAGATTGCTTGATTTCTTATCAGTAACTGTGCCTGGTGTTCAAAATAACAGATGGCAAAATAGATAGAATTGGGTGGGAGTCCATAACTCAAGTGCAGAGGGCCTATTTTTCACATTGCAGGTTTGAGATTCATGCAGAAATAAGAATGCTAGAAAATTCTGGGAAAGTTTCCTGAAGCATATAGTGGTGACAGGGTACTGATAAGTGACTCCATATTAAAACAGATTCTGATATTGGTATATACCAGTGGTGGTTAACCTTTTTGGGCTCCCGTGCTGAAATTGCGCTCGCACGTGCAAGCACCCAGAAGGCAATGCTCACACTCCCTGTGCATGCACATGCTACTCCCCCACGCACCATGCATGCACATGCGATCCCTGTATGCTATATGGCTCTGCGCGTGCGATCCCCCTGCATGTGCCGTGCATCTCTGCGCATGCACATGCACCTCCCACATACCCCTGGCCCCCTGCGCATGGGCGCCAGATATCTGACAATCAGCTGTAGCGCAGGTGGTGTGGGCGGTGTGTGCGCATGCACAGTGGGGCTCTTCTGGGCAACCTGAGCCTCTTCCGGCAGGCGTGCCATAGGTTCGCCATCATGGGTATATACTGAAGAGCATGACATAATTTTGAAAAAGGAAATGGATAATGATTTAAATGTATTTATTCGGGTAAAGTGGTAATGAATGCTTTAATTAGAAATTTTAGTTTTCTCATAAATACAGAAGAGTGTACAGCTCACAGTATTTCCTTGCACTATACGTAATTCTATATGCAGCATAAGTGCAAAGTCCCACTGAGGTTAGTGAAGTTAACTCAAAGGAGATGTTTACAGCCTTAAAACATTTTTGCTTATGGAGGTCTTCACTTGCTAAAAAATTATTATACATATGAGAGGTGTTATATATTCTACATATTATGTTTCTGAATACACATAGTCAGTTTTACTTGAGTTTATGTTTCTGATGTTTGGGACCTGGGTTTGTAGATTTTGGAGTATTGTCACACATTTGTTTCTGATTGCTTACTTTAATGTGTAATTTTCATACATTTCCTGGGGTATGTTCCCATAAAATGCAAGATAAATTAGCTATGTTTCAGGATATACAAGTTGTTGGGCCATATAATTTTGGACCATCTCAGATGTAAAGTACATTTTAAAAATATTTTAGAAAGCATAGACAGATTCTGTTGAAATGGTACCAAACATTTTGGAAGCAGCATTTCTGAATTAAAGTCCAAAGAATTAGGATTTTGCAACTAAAGAGTTCACAATCTGTATAAAACAATAACCCTGGCATAATGTCATATCAGATATTTAAATAAGACTGTCAGCTTATCTATAGAAACAAAGCTTTCCTTCTTAAAAGAAACACATGCCCAAGAAATAGTCTTTATCGATCATCTTTGAGTTCCACGTTTAGATAGAAATCTTCCAAATCATTGCTATGTAGATTTAAAAATACAAATAATTCAGTATGGCTTTTTAATGAACAAACAGCATAAGGAAGGAATTGCTTTAATTTGATCTGCATTTACATTTAGAATTTTCAGTCCAAAAGGCACGGTTGTACTGGTGTATTGCTAGTCAGATGAAACTGTGTTCTGGTGGATAAATATTGCTAAGAACATACATTTTCTGAGGATAAAAATATCTGAATCAATTCAGATATAAATACAATAGAAGCAAGAGTAAGCCATCTAATCTAAAATATTTACAGTATTTGCTATTCTAATGGAACAAAATAAACAACCACCACCCTTTGTCTTAATGACAAAAGTTTAGTGTATTCTATAACAAACATGTATATAAAATAATTTAAACCCAATTGCATATCTCAATAAGCTTGAGATATATTTCTCATTCCTATTTTATGTCCTTTCAGAAATACATGTACTTTATGAACTTGCCCAGAAGAGGGCAAGAGAGCTAAACGTTTTTCTGATTAGAATACAGGTTTTTTTTTCCATTCATGAGAAAGTTGTTCACTGACCTCACTTGTCTAAATAAAAACTGCATACTTAAAATTGACTCCAGAAGTAATACATGTTATTTCAAATTCTTCCTAATGTATTCCTGCAAGTGCAAGGTCTGTTATTTCAAATTACTCAGAGAATTTTGTATTATTTTAGGTTAAGGTAAAGGTTCCCTCACACATGTGTGCTAGTTGTTTCTGACTCTAGGGGGAGGTGCTCATCTCCGTTACAAAGCCGAAGAGCCAGTGCTATCCGAAGACTTCTCTGTGATCATGTGGCCGGCATGACTAAACACCAAAGGCGCACGAAGCACTGTTACCTTCCCACCAAATGGTCCCTATTTTTCTACTTGCATTTTTAATGTACTTTCAAACTACCTAGGTTGGCATAAGCCGGGACAAGTAGTGGGAATTCACTCCATTATGTGGCACCAGGGATTCGAACTGCTGAACTGCTGACCTTCTGATTGACAAGCTCAGCGTCTTAGCTACTGAGCCACTGTGTCCCTTATATTATTATTTATATATAAATAATATATTTGTATATAAATAATATATTATTTGTCTTATAATAAAATTTATATATATATATATATATATATATGTATGTATATATGTATGTATATATATATATGTGTATGTATGTATGTATATATGTATATGTATATATATGTATATGTATGTATATAATTTTACTATATAACAAATACAATTTTCCTCAGTATGTTTGAAACTATTGATTTTCTCCTTTTGGTAGAGAGTATTTAGAGATATAACTTACGTATTGGGAAAGAGCAAAGTTCATTGTAGAACAGGTTGTTAATAAGGAAATTACAAAAATATACTGCTTTTCCCCAGTATATAAAGGAATAGAACAAGAATGATGAAAAGCATAGTAATGTACTAAACAGTTAATTTGATCTAGCATTATGAGTTTTTATATCATTTCTTCATTTGGAATTTTTCACAGTTCTCTGTGTTAGAAATATGAGTTTTCATTTGTGAACTGATTATTGTTTATGGCCAAAATTCTATTCCTTTTGAAAAATTAAACGTTTTCTTAGATGTATTCATGGAGACTAGAACATGGTCGCATTTAGAGATTCCTACTACTTATTGGTTGCTTCTTTGAATTCTGTTGGTTGATTGGCTTGAAAAATGGACACTGACTTTAAAGTATTGACAGTGTGCTTTAAAAACTCTCTTTATGAAATGTAGATAGTCATACATGCTTTTGAAGATATCATTACAGATGATCCTTGACTTACGACCATAATTAAACCCAAAATGCCTGTTGCTAAGCAAGGCAGTTAAGTAAGATTTACTCCATTTAATGACCTTTTTGCCATGGTTGTTAAATCAATCACTGCGGTTGTTAAGTGAATGATGTGATCCTTAAGCAAATCTGGAATCCCCCCCATTGACTTTGCTTTTTGGAAGCTAGCTGGAGAGGTTACAAGTGGTGATCACATGACACCAGGACAATGCAACTGTCATAAATACATGCCAGTTGCCAAATGCCCAACTTTTGATCATGGGATTGCGGCAACAATAATAAATGAAAACCATAAGTCACTTTTTTCAGTGCTGTTGTATCTTTGATTAGTCACTAAATAATTGGTTGTTAACTCAAGAGCTACCTGTACCAGCAGAATGATGGGATTATTATTATGTAATTGGCAAGTTTCATTGCAAGGCTGTTTCAAGAGTTTAGGGCTCACATCATATATGACTAGCATTAGGGTATATATGTAATTAAGTTTATTAAATTGTGTTCAGAGAATAAAAAAAGACTGGAGAATGAATTGCAGTAAATTACAGTAATATCTCTCCATGTATCTTATTCGATTACATATTGTATGTATATGAATTTAAGGATAAAGTTTTTTTATCATTTTTCTTTAGGGTGTAAATTACTCTTTATATAGGTTGGCAGATGTAGATATTCAATAGATCAATGCCAGTTTAAGTTGGAGCTAATTGATTTAGTTGACATTAAGGAGTGGGTAACTGCTGGCAGGATCAAATAAGGTCAAAGGTATGTGGATTATTTTCTGCATTAACAGTGACTGTTTAGTTTAATTTACTTCATTGTCATTGCATCTCGTACAACAAAACTAAATGCCATCTTCAGTGTACATCAT